CCCCAAGACCAAAAAAAAAAAAAAAAAGTAACCTCATATATTATCTTTCTATTGACTTAATTGGCTTAATTAGTGTGTAGTCTGGTATCTTGATACTATTTCAAAAAGAAGTTCTGCCTAGGAAACTTGGGGGTTTTCTTCTTTTGTCAGTTTAGGAAGTATCTTAATGCACACCCATTCTATATTCAAATAGTACATTTGGGTGGGAAGTGGAAATCTTGCCTAAACATAATGAGGACCGAAGAGAATACTAAATTTTAAGTAGTCTTAGTGTAAATATAAATATTTAAAAAATAAACTGGGAGCTAATGTTTTCAAAATCCATATTTAAATTGCCAAGTGGGCAGCAAAATAATGCCCAGAAGGAATTGCTACAAGATTTTATTTTTGGAGGGAAAGATTTTAAAGTACAAAATGTCCCCTCCCCCCTTTTTTTTTTGGTACTGGTCCTGGTGCTTGAACTCAGGGCCTGGCTGTCCCTGAGCTCTTTTACTCTAGTGCCTTTGAGCCACAGCTCTACTTCACAGTTTCCTGCTCAGACTGGTTTCAGATCTCATTCCTCATATCTCATCCTCCTGAGTAGCTAGGATTACAGGCATGAGCCACTAAAGGCAGGCTGCCAGATTTCTTTGATTGAGGCTCTTGGAATATTTTGTGATATGATGTATATAACAACATACCCGTAAGGGGCATATCTGGCCCCCTTTGCTAATGCAGAGAATTCAAGCAGTAGAATATAAGGTAAATAAAATACGAAATTCTCTCAGAATGGCCATTGCTTTCTTATATTTTTAAAACCTTTTGTATTATTATAAAGGTGATGTGTGTGTGGCGGGGTTTACAGTTATGTTTCCTTACATTTTCAAAAGTCTATTAATTTTGGTAAGCAGAACTTATTTTTATTTTTTTTATTTTTTTTGGGTCCGGTCATGGGGCCTGAACTCTGAGCCTGGGTGCTGTCCCTCAGCTCTTCAGCTCAAGGCTCTACCACTTGAGCCACAGCGCCACTTCCGGCTTTTTTGTTTTTGCTTATGTGGTGCTGAGGAATTGAACCCAGGGCCTCAGGCATGCAAGGCAAGCGCTTTAACCACTGAGCCACCTTCCCAGCCCCCAGAACTTTCTTCCTCAGAATACTCAATTATGACACATTGTGTAGTGGTCTGATACATTGTCCCATGAAGTTCTATAGTTTAAGTAACTTCAAGGCATTTTAAAATAAGAAGTTTGTGAGTCAAAGAAGGCAGGTTATTTAGACTTTGTAATCTGAATAATTGAATTCTGGTTTTGTTTTTGCTGGTCACTTGCTTGAAAAGATACTTTATCCCTTTGTGTTTGTTTCTCTTTCAGAAACTTGACTCTTTATCTGCTTTGCATGAGTATTGAGATGGTTTCTATAAAACAAGTTTAAATCTTTTGGAAAACTATGAATATAGAATGTAGAATATATGTATATATATATACATATGTGTGTGTGTGTGTGTGTATATATATATACACACATCCCTCCCTCCCTCCCTCCCTCCCT